CTCTCTCGCCGGCTGCCTCTCGGGCCCCGTCGCCGTCCGGGCGCTGGAGCCGCCTCTCCGTGGGCGAGGATGAGCGAAGTGCCTCCCCAACGCACCCCTCGCCTGTGCCCCCTTGATGGTTGTGACCTTCCCCCCCAACCTCTCACACCAGTCCCATCCACGGGCAACAAAAGCCCCCCCACCAGTGACACATCCGTGCACCCAGCCCCTTCACAACGCCTAGGGTGCCTGGCAAAAATTCTGTTGGCACCTTCTTGTCACTAGCTCAGCAATGTTGGTGTGGACAGGTGAGGAGGGCTCTGCTTGTAGAAACCATCCCAGGAAACTTCAGGTGAGTAAGGCTTGTGACTGAGCCAGTAAGTCTTCATGACAAATGTGCAAGGCTTTGTGGAGAAAGGCCCCTCTTGATCTGGATCACCGGCATCTCCCTCCTCCGATTCCATCCTCTGTGAATGCTTATTTAAGGCGGCATTGCTTCAAATTAATGACTGGCTTCTGCATTGATTGGTGGGGATGTTCTTCAGACTTGAGAAAGGGGTTTCCCACAGTAGGAAAACCTTCTACTACTACTTATTTCAAACTGTAAAAAGGGGCATGGGATCACCTGTAAGATTTCACATGTGTGTGGAGAAGAAATGTTCTTCCATGATTTTCCATCATCCATTTTGGGGGCTTGGGTGGCCTTGGCACACTAGGAGCTTAATCTCCCTTGTAGCCCATGGCCATTGGAACAATAGAGGGCCATTGAACATTTTGCTATCCCCAATATTTTGCTGTCCTTTGCAATTGTTGCTTTGTTTGTATGACAGAGCTGGCCTTCTCTTTAGGTCTATTTTCCTCTCCATTTACCTTTTAGAAAGACAGTAACCTTATGCTCAAGAGTATACAATTTGCTGCTCTGTTCCTATAATGGCTGCCGAACTATGCCACTTTCTTCCCTTATCCCCATAGCTGCCATGTAAGAGGGTGGGTGAGGTTTGGTATTCTGCAGTGTGCCAGAGGTCAGACTACACAATCGTGATGTCCCTTTCTGACTTTAAAATCTACAACTACAGGCATAGATAGAAATAGTGGCATAGGCTTGTTACTCTAACAGAAACCAAGTGGTTGATTCAGGGGAGGAGGAGAAAGCATGTTAAACAGCATTTGTGAATTCCCACATGGAATCTGTGTGTCATGGCAGACTGGATTTCCTGTGACTGATTTTTGTGTACTTTTTTACTCACATTCCTCTTGCTGAGTCTTTATGGCTGGTATGAAAAGGTTGAAAACAGATCTACAAAGTTGGTTCCAATGTCTGCAGACATGATTCAGGCTATGTTGAAGTTTTTCTTATTTTAAAATTATTTTTTGAAAACTGAACTCTGAGTATTTCTGAGAGTTCATGATGTTATCTATCTTAAGTTTTTTTTTCAATGTTCTGAATACAGTGGATATGTCATATCATGTCTATGTGATTATCATATTCCCTTTCATGTCAAGTGGTTATTGTTTTATGGAGCTGAAACCAGAAGTTACCAAGATGCAGCTAGATAGCTATTGGGGAAACGTAATTGGAGAACATATTAAAACAGAATTGTCATGGTGATGGATGTCAAGTGAACCAAAGACAGATACAATCAAATATTTTATAAGCACACATTTCACTAATTTAAAAATGTATACAATCTCCATGTAAGGGGGTGCTTTGGCAAAATAATTTGGAAAGATAAAGAAAAAGTTTATAATTTGGCATACTCCAGTCTTTTTGTCTCTTTGTATTGTGATCTTACAGTTTGAAAGTACGCTTCTGGGAAAAGTAGCATCTTGGCAGGCAGATGAAATTAATGTTTCTGTACCATCAGGAACAGACTTTGATTCACCTGTATTCTCTGTGTTCTGTGCAGTACTCTTCAGGGTGATCAAAGAAAGTAAGCATTAAAACCTATTTCTTCAATAGTCAGTGTCACACAGGATTTAAATTTTAAGCTAGATAAGTCATTAGAGTTACAGAGACAATAGTCAGATTTAGTGCCAGGTACACTGAAACAGAATGTGATGTTTTGAAATAAAAGTGAAAGGTTAAACTTTATAAATAAACTTGTCCCAAATAATAATTCGTTAGGGTTTATTGATGTATTCAAACATTTTTACCATTAAGAGTTGTTTCAAATCTGATATTTATCACTTCAAGAAAATAGCTGTCTACAGAACCTACACAGAATGGCCAAGGCCCAGAATACATACGTGCTGCATTGTGTTAACTGCATTCTTTTTGAGTTTTCAGTAAATTGATGTGACAATGCAGCAATGAGTTTAGAATATTTACTAGTCAAAGTCATTGAAAGTTTAGGTCTGTGGTGTCCAACATGCTAGCCACATGTGGCTAGTTGGCGGGATGAGTGTGGCTAATTGTCTTGAACAATGTGGCTAGTTGTCCGGTTGAGTGTGGCTAGTTAGCTTCAGAACTACAGTAGTTGAGTACCACAGGTTAGGTGAATGCTTGCTAACATTTTATTGTCTCGTATACAAAGTAGAAGTACTTAATCAGAAATTCAGTTGTTTGGTGTTTGTTTTAGCTGCATAAAAGTATCAAAACTTTGGATGCTTTTTATTGGAGAAAAGCTTTTAAATGTTCATTATTTAATAGCTTTTAGATGTAGAAAATATATTAATTTCACTAATAACTAAGAAGTGAAATAACTTGATGTATTTAAGACTTACTGCATATGAAATGGTGTTTCATAATACTTTGCTCTGAAAAACACCTTTGTTTTTTTAAAATAATCTTTCCTCTCAAATGTGTATTAAATTATTGTGAAAGTAAGACATCCACCTTAAATAAAAAAAAGCTAGAATGTATTTCTTACAGACTAATAGTATTTTAGATTCTCTTCTATGTGTCACTTTAACAGTATGGTATTGTGGACCTCCACAATTCAGGACAATCTCCAGTAAATGTAGCTATTCTGTAATTGGTATGTGAAGTGGTACAGACCATAGGAGGAAAAAAGGCAAGAAGTATAACTATTTCTAGTGCATGTTCTGAAAATGGTATTTGAAACAAAAAAAATCACAGTATGAAAAAATTCATACAGGTTTCAGGTCATGAGTTCCTTTGGAAAGGGGGATCCCAATTGGTGGACCAGCCACTGGAGTTTCAAAATATTTTATTCTGTATTAAACAAGAAACAGTTAAGTGTCACTGAAAAACTATATTAGATTGAAAACTTATTTAACAATAACATTGACACTTTTTTTATTTAATAAAATTATACATTTTCCATTTATTTTTAATTTTTCTACTTCACCTTTATTTTTAGATGGCAATTTTCACCATGAGGCATTATTGTTTTACTTTGCTGATTTTGACCTCAGTCCTGTTACAGTTGATATCACTATTTTTAATGGCATTTTGAAATTGAATATTGAAATATTCAATATAAAATATTTCTCATGCCTTCTAAAGCATAAATAACTAGAAATATATTTACTTGGTCTTCTATAAAAAAGCATGATTGTAAATTTTTAAGAATTTTTTTTCCTCCAGTCTAGCATAAACTGACTGTAAATTACATTTTCTAATATTGACTAATGTGAAGTCTGAAGAATACCTTGGTTAGCAGTGGAAATGTTGGGTGAATCTGTAGTTCATACCTGTGTGTACGGACATGGTGCTCACTTGTATGTTGGAAGAAATTCTTTCTCATTTTCTTTTATTCATCCATATCTTTGGCTTTTAAAAGTCCATCACATATATCTTGTAGTCTAGGGAGTTGGCAACCCAGTAAATTGCCACAGTACACGTTTCTATGGAAATAATTGAGATGTAATAAATAAAGGCACTCTGAGGTCACAGGTTTCCGAATTCAACTGAGAGGGAAAACAAGTATAAATTATATAGATATATACATAAC